AGGGGGTCGGACTAGATGATCTCCTCAGGTCTCTTCCGACCCTACCAACTATGAAACTATGTATATTGTCTCAGTCATTTTCCACACAGAATCGCAACCAGGTGACCCTCATTCAGCTTCCAAGTTCATCTAGACATTGGGATAGTTGTTCCGTTTCACCAATCAGGTCAGGCATGGAGCAAACAGCCAGATCCCTGTTACCAGCGACCTGTTTTCTCGAAAGTTATTAGAGAACACAACTAAGGAGACTGAGATCAAATATAATGAGGGCTTTGAGTTTTAGCCAAATCTCATCCCAACCTCTAGTTGGTGCAAATAAGTAATTCAGCTTCTAAATTGGGGGCAACTGCAGGTCTACAAAGTAATTTTTGTGTTTATGCTATAATTTATGTACATGGATAAATGGAAATATTGATTTCTCCCACTTGTAAAATATTTTATTTGGCTTGGACACTGGCAGTAGCATTGGCTGATGACCTTTTTTCCACTGTCGAATTAGTGATGAGAGCTGGAATGTGCATACCTCTTGAAAACTGAATGGTCGCTATTAAAACATGGAACAACGCTGCTTATTTTCTTGGTTGACATCCATAAATGCCCTTTGTTTTTGCTATTGACTCCCTAGTCTTACTAAATTTTTCAAATGTTATGTTTCTATATGTTTTATTTAAATGTATGCAAACATACAATCCTTTCTTGGACTATATGTGCCTTTAACATATTACAACATAAATTAATGCAGGTTGATTTGAGGTGCAGCTTTAAGCCAACATGGGAACAGGCTAGAGTTAGAAAATGCAGTCTAGGTAGGGAGCCTGGGAAGTTTCTAAAATTTCTTGCCTCTGCTGAAGGAAAACAAAGAAGGCATGAGAGTCTTTAACGCACAAACCTCATGGGTGTGTTTTACCCCTCCTGCTCATGACATATGGGGAATTCAGCATATATTAGAAGCAGGTGTCACAGGCTTTAAACAAAATGAAAACTGGAAAATGTAGACGTGTCTATATTTGTTGATTTCATTGGACATCAATAGCAAACAGGGAGAGACTTGATGAAATGCACAACATTTCTTTAATGCAGATAATAAGAAATCTCCTCCAGATACTGTTATCACTTGACTGTAGAATGTTAGACTGCCTCTGGGGAAATTTTTATACAGGATTCAACTTACAAATTCATTCTGTAGCTCATTTTATGTTCAGGGCCCATAAAACCCATCTCCTTCCTGGCTAATAAAGAGGTAAAATGCCCACATGATGCATGTGACCTCTCCCTCAGTGAGTGGGTGAAAATCAGGATGATACACCTATTCCTAGATGACCTTTGAAGGTGCTTTCCAGCCCTACTTTTCTATGATTATATATGTAAATATACCGTATATTTTAGAGTGACTCTAACTACTGAAGTGTGATTACAGCTCACGTAGGCACACCAGTGACAGCTCTAATCTAGCTAGCTCAGGTACCAGTAGCAGTGAAGCTCTGGCACCACAAGTTTCAGCCCTGGCTGCTCAAGCCATCTGGTACCACCGTAGCTGAAGCGTGGGTTGCTTTGCTGCTGCTTTACTCCAATACTTGAGCTAATAAAAGTAAGACAAGTGGGGAGACGCTGACAAGCTCTGCAATCATCCCACGCATTTTAGCACAGACTCATCCTTCAGCGCCGCATCTTTGATAGCTAACTGCTAATAAAAATGCCTCACAGATGTTGGGATCACTCCTTTTCTTTTCCTCCAGCAGCATGACCTGTCCCCAAGCGGGTGCCCTGGCACTGTGCTGCAGTGCCTGGGGTCTTTGTCCTGACTCTGGACTGCACCCTGCTGTGAAGTGACTTGGTGCCAGGCTGTACCTCTACTGTGAAGTGACCTTCCTTGGCTGGCTCCCCACTAGACACGTGGTAGCTCTGTTGTGAGGGAGCTTTTTTGGAGGGGAGAATATTTTTCAGATTCCAGGTCAAATCATAGACAAATCAGTTCTGAATCCTTTCAATTGAGCAAAACTCCATCGTTCAGACCCCATACGTGATGCTACAACTGGCAAGCATCCTCCACCCCAGACTTTTCAACCTGGCGCTTCAGATGCTCCCAAATCCACTGGCAGGCATCCTACGTGGATGCACAAGCCAAGGCTTGGGGTTCGGATGCCCCTGAGTCTCACCTGCTCTTAGCCAATGGCCACAGGAGCAGGCTAGGGAGACATTCCCCATTTTCATGACATAGGTGTGTAGCCAAGATCCTCCCGCTAGAACAGGGGCAGGCAATTATTTCGGGCGGACATCTGCTTACTGTTTTGGCAAGCCATGGAGGGCCACATGATAGGCAGACAGGGACAGATAAATATTAATTTTCTAAATTTTTTTAGGGGCCCGGCAGGCTACATAGAATGACTTGGAGGCCCACATCCAGCCTGCATTTTGCCCACCCCTGCACTAGAAGCGGCCACCGGGGAGCTAATTACAAGACTCATCGGATGTCCTGTCCGCAGGGCATTAGAGTGGGGCACGCCCTCCATTACACGGTGCCCCTGGGGCTGGGCACCAGCCCTGGATCTAGCCCACAAGAGGCCGAGGGAGCTCTACCCCCTCCAGGGCAAGGCTGCCCTGTAGCAAGACCTGGCTCTGTGCTGACACGTTGCGTGAGGGCCGGCCAGGGACTGCACCGCCCCTGCCCACCACCCCTGCGCTCCAGCCCTGGTGGAACCCAGGACGGAGAGGGGCGTGGCTTCCCCGCGGGAGGGCGTGGCCTCGCCACTGAGGGGCGTGGCTTGCCGCCGAGTCGGGCTTCCACGGGGCGCACGTGTGTGCGCGCGGCGGGCGCGATGAGTGGCCGGGCGCGGGCGAGAGGCAGAGGACAGGCCGGGCGCGGCGCGGTGCGTGGGGGCCCTCCGCCTGCACCTGCACCTGCAGCGCTGCCTACGGGGAAGGTCAGCCCGGGAGCGAGGCCTGCTCGGGGCAGGGACGGGGTGGCCGGATTTTCCAAAGAAAGCAGACATGTTTGAAATACTGGGCCAGCAGTTTGTTTGTTTTCTCTTTGCCGCTGCTGATTCAGAGGCCGCCTTTTGCTACCATTTGACTTGCTCTTCCATGAAACTCTCTCAGTTCTCTAAATCCAGGACTCACTGTATGCCAGTTCAGCAGAGCACTTCAACACTTGCTTAATTGTAAGCCTGTGCCCAAGTCCTATTGAAGAGGGACTTTTGTACATGCTTAAAGCTAAGCAGCATTATTTTTATTCTGTTACTTGTGTTCTGCACAGTGTTCAGTTTTGGGCTGTGCTTCACTTGGCCACTCTCAGGGAAATATTAGTTCTTCCATGCCTATACCTGTCTTGAAGTATTGTGACAATGAGCCAGATACAAAATGTTGTGGTTTTTTTATGTATACAAGCTTGCGTTTATGGAGATCTGTTATCTGTATTTTGTAGGATTACTCTAGGAGCGATGATTCCCAAGTTGTTGGGACTTTTGTGTCTGAGGAAGAGGCCTCAACCAGCTCTGCCCATGGTGGAGCAGCAAGACTTTCTCAGAGATGTAAGTGCACAGCTATGTTGCTTTAATTCATTATTAAAATTATATGATTATAAATAATTATATTACAATTATTTCTTCTACTTAGATTTTAAGTCCTCAGGGCAGGAGTTGTCTTTTTTTTATTCTTTAGTATTAGTATGGGTCCTAAAAACATTGGGTGCTGGTCTATGACTGGGGTAGTACCACAATACAAATAAATAATAGTGATATTAAAAGAGTATGGTACCTAATTAAATGGCTTTTTCTTCTACCTAAATATATTAAGGTTTAATAAAGGCCAGTAGATGAAGTGGAGGCCATAAAGAACTGTACAGCATGTATACCATTTTTGCAAATACCATGATGTCTTTATAAACAGGAATTTATCTTTTGAATTTCTTAAGGAATAAATAAATGAATAATATCACTATGACAGTAGCCCAGTGGCTCAGACTCTGCTTATTATAAATTGATTTGGCATATTATACTGTATTTTATGTGCTACTTTCCAAATACAATCTAATTAAATATGCTCATGCTTTACAATATGAATTACCAAAACTGAAAGCCATAAAAGGTTGAAGATAATAAAAGTACCCATGTCCCTGTTTCTGGTTTCTGAGCTCACTTCTTGAGACCCACAAGGAATGAATAATTGCGTGTTTCACTCTCTGTTTCTGTTCAAGGTGACTTTTCTGCTGGAGAGTCCAAGTCTCAGGGTGCAGTGTTGGGGAAAGGGGGAAGGACCCGATATGACTTTCCAGATTTGGGAATAAATACTAGAAAGACTATAGCACATGTCCGAGACTGTAAAACAGGTAGAGTAACTCCTTTTCCTTCACATTAGCTTTGTCAGTATACTATGCCTTGGAGCTCTGTACTTCTCAAGAGCAGATTCGTAGATTATGGTCACTATCAGGAAATCTGAAAATATGGTGGTGCAAAATGCTTAATTTTGAGTTGGGGGAAGGTGCCCAGAAAGCAGTTTCCTGCAGTCAAGAGACTGTTCAGAGAGGCCTAGTATTTAAAACATCCCAATTCTATTGTGTTATTTGTACAATGTTTTTCAACCTTTTTGCTTCCTTGACATGACAATACTGCATTTTTGCTTAATGTGTTCTGGCTGATGCTCTTGATATTTTTGGATCCAATGGGTTGTTATACTTAACTGGGGAAAATTATTTATCATAGCTAATATAGACAGAATATGATTTCTCTACTAACGTATGAATTAAATATGTTTTGTGTTTGTGAAATGAAGTATTAGGTTTTAGAAGCTTTAGCTGCTTGTCTTGTTATCAGATTTAAAGTAGATTTTTAACATTGCTCAGGACCAAGCATCTTGTATCTGTCCATTATATAGTTAAGAGAATTTTGTTTTGTTCCTCTTTCATAGAAAAATATATTCTGTTTTTAAATAATCTACTATGCTGAAAAGGTGGTCTTGGGCTAGAGCAAAGAACCAGGAGGTAGATCTTTGTTTTGTTACTGACTGGTACAAGCTTTATGTGACTTTGTGGAAATTATGCATATAGCCATTCCATGCCTATGTCCTTCAGTCTGTAAAATGGGGATAATATCTTACTTCCTAGTTTTGTTGTCTGAATCCTTTCAAGTTTAAATTCCCGAGATGCTCTAGTTGTATGTGATATAGCAGTGCAGAATATTACTTCTTATTCAAAACTAATATGAACTTCTGTGGGGGGAATTATGCTTAGGAACAAATAAAAAATAGTTTGCTATATCATGATTGTGTATTGTTTCATGACATAGCAAACCATCTGCTGAAGTTCAGCAACTGTATTTGTCTATCATATTTTATCTCAACTGGACAATAGGGTAATAAGAAGCATTTTTAAAAACACTGCTCTTTTTAGAGAGAGACTAACCTAACTTAACCCATATAAGCTGGCATCATCCAGGTTTTTCAAAGAAATTTCTAAAGTTACCAGACAGTAACATGCAAAAGGTATCATCTATAATTATTTAACATTGCTTACTATATCCCTGCCAATAATATTCTGTCTGAAAAAAATGAGGAAAACTAAGTCAACATAAATGTTTTATTGCAGGCTCCAGTGGAATCCCGGTGAAAGTAATTACAAATCTCTACAGCTTATTGCTTCCTAGGGAATGGCAGCTTTACCAGTACCATGTGACTTTTAACCCAGAGTTTGAGTCAAGGCGTCTACGCCTTGCATTGCTCTACAGCCATGCTGAATTTCTTGGAAAAGCTAAAGCATTTGATGGAGTCATTCTTTTTCTTTCTCAAAAGCTGGAAAACCAGGTAAAGTGATCTGCTTATGTTCTGTACATTAAAGAAAAGTCATGGTAGTTGTAATTTCTGTTCTTTTTTTTCCCTGGGACACTGAAAGAGGGGCAACTACCAGCATCATCAGTAACATTTGCTTCCATTGTTTAAAGCAGTTTAAGTCCTTTGTTTATGACCAAACCAATTCCTTGGTGAAGTTAGTCTAGTATTGCATAGGCAGTGCTTGTTGCTGAAAGACTTTGGTTTAGGGTTTAGTCATGTTAACATCAATAGTATAGTACCTGTGGGCGTTTGAACACATGCTTGCGCTGCAGTGCTGGGCACTTTTAAAAGCTCCCGGCGCTGCAGCACATGCAGTTGTAGAAATGGTGAAATGCACGTCAGTGCTGAGAAAGTGTCAGCGGTGCATTTTTGAACTAAAACACATTGGAGATGTTTTAGTTCAAAAGCACGCTGCCGCCATTTTTTCTGTGCACTGACATGCATTTCGCTGCTTATACAACTGCACGCGAAGCAGCACAGTGCATATCAGCTTGTGTGCGGACCTGCCAGATCTCTGGTGCATCGCAGTACAAAAAGGTATGTGTCTAAGTGCCCCATGTTTCCTGGAACTTCACTTTCAATTCTAGTAGAATCAAATCAACTCTTCATCCTTCCAAGGTAAGTGCACTGACATGCCATTGGTGTGTGGGTCCTTTGGATGGGATCGTTAAAAACAAAGGCATGTCTGCTGTGTGAAGATAACAAAGATGGCACTTTTCAGTAGGAAAAGAGCTTGTCCCAATCCCTTTGACTGAAACCCTCCTGTCCCCTGCCTTCATGATTGTCTTGCCTGCATTCTTGTCTTGCCTGCCTCGTTGCCTACATTTCATAAAGCTGCATGTCTAAGCAAATTTTAACAGTCTATGCTTGAAGAAAATTCCTTTCTTTCTGTTCATGTTAGTAGATGGTTTTCGGTTACGAGAACTGTCTTTCTAATACTTCTCAAAATTTAAAAATACAGAAGAATTTTTCTCTCTTAAAAAAAAAAAAAAAAAAAAAAAGGAAAAATTAAAAAAGTTGCATACTTGATATGCAGTTCATATTTTTGGAACTTCACGTAATATGTTGAAGCAGCTTCATTTTACCATATTAAGATTGCTAGTGTACACTATCTATAGACTGTGTTTAGACTGCAAACTTACCACCCCCAATAGTGACACACTCAAACACACTGTGTAGCTGCATGCATGCACGCCACTCAGCCAGAAGCCATAACCATCTGCCACCTTGGGTAGACTTACTAGCACTGAGATGGGCATTTCTTTGTGGCTGTAGGGGACAAGATTAGGAGCAATGGCCTCAAGCTGCAGCAGGGGAAATTTAGGCTTGAGATTTGGGGGAACTTTCTGCCTCTGAGTAGAAAACAGGTTAGACCAGGAATGTTCAACCCAAATCTGGCCCACAGTGCTGCATCATCTGGCCCATGGGGCTCCTAGCAGGTCTAGAAATTTGGCAGCAGGAGAGCAGTGGCACTGGGGAGCCCTGTGCCCTGGATTGGCCCCCAATCCCATTGTATAGACCTGGGTTGGGGTGGCACCAGGCCCCAGGGCCCAATCCTGTCATGTGGTAGGCCAGGAGGGAGGCAGTGCCAGTCCCCCAGGACCTAAACCCAGTGCTCAGTAGTAGGAGGGTGCCAAGCACTCAGGGATCAATCCTGGTGAGAGGGGGTGGTGCCAGGCCTCAGGGCTCACTCCCAGCACTGATCCTGGATCAAGGCGCTCAATCCGGCCCATGAACTGGCACTGCCCCATTCTTCTGGCCCACAAGGCCAAAAGGTTGAGTGCCACTGGGTTAGACAGACACTTGGCTGGCATGATTTACTCAGGGATGATCCTGCCTTGAGCAGGCGGCTGGGCTAGATGACCTCGTGAGGTCGCTTGCAGTCCTACCATGCTGTTATCCTGCATTTGGTGCTCTTGCAAGCAATGAACTTGCAAGCACTTTGTTTTATAGACCTTTTTAGTAACATATCTGCTATTCCAAGAGTCAGTAGTCTGGAACTTAGATTGTAATAAAACAAAAGGGGAATGAGCAAAAACCGCTTGCAGGCCAACAAGTTCTTTAGTTTTGTTTATGGGGAAAATAAAACCTCTGGGCATTTTTAAGAGTGGTACTATAGCAGCAGTTTTCCAGCATGGAAATATGTTTGAGGTAGGCAGTGGCCTTTGTGTTTTAAGAAAGGTCTGTTTAGGAAGAGTGAAAATTGTGACAAAAATCACAGTGCTCTGGACTTGCTAATTTTAAGGCCTGACTGCTGAGCTGCTCTTACAGTAGCTCTTTTACATCATTCAGGGCAAAATACTCATTTGATATTGTTGTTTTTTCTTACCTTTCCCCCCACCCCCTTAGGTCACAGAATTGTTGACTGAAACAAAAAGGGGCGAGAGAGTAAAAATCACCATTACACTAAAAAGCAAGTTACCACCCAGTTCTCCAGTCTGCATTCAGTTTTTCAATATCATCTTCAAGAAGTAAGAGATTTTTTGAATGGGGTTTGTTTTTTTTTTACATTTAGTAATCTTTGACTCTTTCCATTTTTGTTAATGTTTTGAAAATCTTTTGGTTTATGGTACTTTATTATTATTATCCTGTTATGAAAAACTGATAACCAGAAGCAGTCATACATTTTTAATTTTTATAAATTTCTGTCTCAGTACCGTTTATTTCAGAGCAGCTGCTTCCCATAGGGCAATTGTGACTTTATTTTCCCCTGTTACCTAGAAAACATAATGTAGAAGCTTCATAAATTGTATTTTTACTTTTATTGAAATCATTCTCAGGTCATCTCGGAAAGAGCTTGCATCTCTTTCCATAATTTTAAGTAACCATGGGTTAAGATTTTCTCCAAGTTGTGTGTTAAAATTTAGTTGGTAGTTCTGACATTGAGGGCTACATATTTAAGCATACTGAAAAAGTTATGCGCGTGTGTTTGTAAATACAAATTAAGTAACCATGGTTTAGTCATGGTTCATCTATAAATATGTGAGTGAAAATGCAAATTTCACCCAACCTAGTGCTTACAAAATATGTTGATACTATTTTGGTATTTAAGGTCTGGTGGAGAAAAAGGCCCATCAATGTAATGTAACATAAAGTACTGTACTTCTCTTACCCATAAACCCAAAATGGACTCAGATGTCCTAGCTCTCTGACGGTTCTTAATTGGCAAGTAGTGACCCATAGTATCTATCTTGTCCATGTCAAAGCAGTCTTCTCTATAGGAAATGCAAACCATTTGCGGTAAAATTTGTATTGGTAGCATGGGCCTGTACAATTTTCTACTTACTGTTTAAGTGCTACCAAAACTTTTAATGCAAGTGCTAAGTGATATTTAAGTGATTCATGAGGTCTTGTGTAGGGCCTCTGCACAAGAGGAAATTTAATTTGATATCCAAGATTTGCTGTTTTTTAAATTCATATTAGAGAATAGAATGGTTTCTGAATTGTTTGATTTGATGTGACTAGGAGCAGAACTGGGACCTTCCTGTGTTCAGGCATTTAATCTTTCCTAACCTAAATATTATAAGGGGGCAGTTGTGCTTCCAAGCAGAATAGAAAAACCTTTTGGATGGATAAATGTTTGAGCTCTGAAAATGGAAGAGGCTACATAGAGCCAATTTATTTTTTAATTACTCACTCATATATTGTAAATGAGGCAAATAATATATTGTAAGGTATTTTGATTTATGTCTGTGGCTCCTTTATTGCTAGAATAGAACCTTGGTAGGTTCTTTCAGGTTACTCTTTTCTGATATTTCTTACTTTGAAAAAAAAATGGTATTGTTCCTGAGATGCCTTTCTTAAATTGTTCAAGGACTTATTTTCTTCTTCAGTTATAACCAGGGATCCTGGTTTTCTCTGATTTAAAAAAAATCCCCAAGTTTTGGATTAGAAAAAGGAACCCAAATCCTACATTTTTCCATGATTAAAATGAAACACCACTAATATATATATATTAGTGGTGTTTCATTTTAATCATGGAAAAATGTGGGTTTTGGGTTACTTTTTCTAATCTGAAAATTAAGGATTTTTTTTTTTTATCAGAGGAAACCAGGATCCCCGATTATAACTTGAATTAGAATGTAAGACATGAGAAGCCTTGCATTTTTAGATTATTAAAAGTAATGCCCAATTAGTGGAATAAAGCAAGATAACTGAGGCTGAGTAAGTCTAACCATTGCACAAGTTCATTAATTGGTTTGAGTATTAATTGGTTTGACTGTTATTGTTTTGGAATGCTTTATTATTAAGGAGAAACTTGTTTTTAATGGAAATAAGGACAGACATTGTACATGCATTTCTGCTGGTTATTAAAGACTGTGTGTGTTGGAATCTAGGACCGTTCTGTCTTTCTTCTCTTCCCAATCTAACCTATTGTAAAATGCTGCTCTGCACTGTTTAATGCTTACATTTTCTCACATTTATTGTGTGTGGGAGAGGGTAGGGGAGTGCAAGAGGGAGGGACTGGTATAGTAAGAGTGGAGGGATTCTGGTGTATCTGTTCAATTCAGAATGCAAGTGATGATAACATCAAGAAAGTATTGCTATTTCAACTTGTTACCTACTCTTAAGGCTACAGTTGCACTTACAGTTTCCAGATGTAGTAGTACTTTCCACTTTAACTTTGAACTTGTGCAGGTTTTTACTTTTTCTCCCAGACACTCAGGGTGTGAGCCAGATAGATCATATATGGGAGCTGTTTCTTTGTGTGTGTGACTATAATCTGTTTTGTAAGAATAATCTAGATGGATTTGTTTTTTGGCAGCAGATATACAGTAACTTGATGACATCTCAATAAAAGTAACTAGCTTTATGAGACTCTGTAAATCTTCATAACACACACAAACCAATTTCTTATTTCAGCCAAATAAGTATCAGAGTTTGAAATTTAGAGTAGTTTTTGCTTTGGGGACTTTACATACTAAAGTATTATAACTGATGATGTCTTCTGAACTATTGCTTTCTTTTTCTTTTGATTACTTGTTAGTGGAGTGGAGATTAGCCTTTTTCCTTTTTTATTATTTTTCTTTACCATAAATTGTAGGATTTACTAGGTACATTTTGACTTTTAGTTTCAAATAATCTCTTTGAACCCATGCAGTTATTAGAAGTCAATTTTTGTTTGATGATATACTGTATATGCATAAACTCAAGACGACTTTGAATTTAAGATGCCCCTCAGTTAGATTCTGTACATGGAAAATTTAGGAATTTGTTAAATTTTCCATGTATAGAATCTAATCATTAGAGGGTCATCTTGAATTTGTCACCCTGCACCCAGTGTTGCAGCAGGGTAGGCAGTGGTAGGAGGCAGGTAGTAGGGGAGTCTGACCCTGCCCCTCCCCAGTGCCTGCATACCCTGGTGCGTACCCCCCTGCACGGCATCTGCCTCCCTGCCACTTGCCATCCCTTCCTCTGCCCCACCATGCCTGTGCCCCTGGTGCCTGATTTCCTGGGTGGTGCCTGCCCCCTGCAATCTCTGTCGTCCCCCCTACTCCCTGTTGCTTACCATCTGGGTACAGTTTCAGCTGCAGCTCTGGCCCCACTCCAACCCAGGACACAAAGCACATGATCGTTTTGGCCCCTACCTGGCCACATAGCAGTGGTTGCGGTAGTGGCCATCTGGCACTAGCTCTGGAGCCAGAGCTGGGGCCAAAGTGACCAAGTACTCCATGCCCCAGGTTGGAGTGGGGCTGGAGCCAGGGCTGGAGGATAAGTGGTAAGGGGCGTGGCAGGGGCAGGTGAGGGGGGCAGAGGTGGCGGCGGTATTGGGCAGACCCTGGGTTTGTCTGATCCAGGACAAACTCGACATCTGTTTATAGCCTGATACAAATTTGGTTAACTTAAAACTTAATTTTAAAGTTATTATTGGTTTATTACATAATTGATGTTCTCTTTGACCAAAGTTTATCTGATGTCACTTTCTGTTATGTGATTCATTTAGAAATCTTTGTTGCTCCGCAGGGTTTTGAAAAAGTTGTCCCTGTATCAAGTTGGACAGAACTTCTACAGTCCTTCAGAACCAGTGGTAATTCCCCAACACAGGTAAGTTTTTATTTTGTTTTCTCCCTGCTTAACTCAGTGCTTTTGACAATGCTTTATGGTCTTCGTCTTCTCATATCTCTATACCACATTTGGCCATTTTGTTACACATGGTTGTGCTCATTTATTGTACTTTATGAGGTCTTCCATTGTACATGATTTCTGAACCATACATATAAACAGAACACCCAGCACCCTATGCAAGTCTGAACTTTATGATTGTGTTTTAGATAGCCTTAATTAATAATATAGATTCTTGAAGGACCTAGGGTGCTAACTATATTCCTTGCATATTTGTGCATTTTTGTCTCCCTTGAACTTTTCTACATGTCAAGAATTATCCTTTTGTATGTGTCATGTTTCCCCCAACCCCTCCAACATAGCCATGTGCGCAGAAGCACATGCACACTTATTCACACTTATTCCATATTGTGGAGGTATAGTGTACTTTACCATGGCTATAGGTATGTGTGGATGTAAGATAAAACAGTATAATTCCCAGTTATACATGTGTGACTCCCCCACCAATCTGGCCTGCAAGTTCTAGAGGCACCTGCAGTTGCCATTTTGAGCACGACTAGGATTCTTGTGACCCAAGCAGCTAGGTGCCTAGCTTCTGCCCAGCCCTGTTAGATCCCAACCTACACAGGGTAGCACCTGTCATCAGAATAGGCACACTTGGAGTATGCCTAACACATGTCAGCAAGAACAGACGCCTCACAAGATGCAGTGGCACCTGCTTTATTTTAATACACTGCTGGTGATGAACTTTTATGAACCAGCCTAGTGGTACCTGGGTGGAGGGTTTAACTCATAATCTCTGGGCCAAGTAGATCTCCAGAGTTGGGTGGAAGGAATACTTCCCTAGGTCAGGTTAGCAAGCAGCATGTCATGCATGTATGCTCCTCTCTGAGCATATTTTAATATAGCTAATTTCTTGGTCCTGCAGTGGGTTCTTTGCCTTCTCTGCTTATTTACTTGTGGTACCTTTTTTACTTGTAAGGCCTTTTAGAGAGTACTGAGTAGCTGCAGTGTGTGGGAAGGACAAAGAGGTGTGCACAGACACAAGGCATTGGACATGATAGCTCAGGTGGCCCCTTCTAGTCGTGTGTGTTTGTGGATACAGAATATTGGCTCAGAAAATGAGGGGTGTTCTGGGCCCAGCCTGAGGGGGTTCAAAGCTGTATCTTTTACCTGCTCCAGCAACAAGGTTATAGGCTTTGTTGGGATGAGGTGCGCTTTACCTACCCTCTTGAAACTGGCCTACTGGGTAGAAACAGAATGAAAGATTTATAGGATCAGAGATATCACACATAAGAGAGTGCATGACTTTAACATAATGGTTAGGTTGTTTGCTGTGTGTCCTGTCTGTTCCCCTTGTGGTGCATGTGTTTAATATTAAAAAAAAGTATTGGATAAAGAAATCATAAGTAATCCTGAGGACTTCAGCTGATGGAAAAAGGCAAATGAGAGACATGACTGATAACAGGTTTACTGTTATTTTCAGAAAGTAGCACACATCCTCACATCTGTTTTTAGCAGCATTGGGTTTTACAGTATTAACAAATCCACTTGTTTTGCTCATCAATGAAAGAAGGTCTTCCACTGTTTAATAACCTGAGTAGCAATAATACTTACGAAGTACAAAACTTAACTGGAAAGTGACACCACATTGTTGGTTCTGAATGAACATTGTGCTTGACAAAATAGCATTGAAAATATTTTTCTTTGTATTCCCTAAGGCTGACACTTTGGCCAGGATTTGCCATTTCCATTTCACAGTTTGAGAGCAGAGTAATGTTGAGTGCTGATGTGAGCCATAAAGTGCTTTGCAATGACACTGTTTTGGAGTTCATGACTGACCTGTATACAAGGTGCGACAGAGCACGCTTCACCGAAACATGTGAAAAGGAGCTAATTGGGCTCATTGTCTTGACCAGGTAAAGATGTTGCCTTTTACTTTGCTGTGATGTGGATTCATACATTTTGTCACCTAGAACTTTTTAAGCCTGGTGACTTTAGAGCAGGGGTAGGCAGCATTTTTTGGCCTGAGTGCCAAAAAAACCACAGTCTACCTTGGAGTGCCGGCATGCCAGAAAAAAAATGGGGG